TTCGACCAGAAAAATAAACCCCGTGGTCGTCCGAGAACTTTGGTCGACAATGACGAATTAAAGGCGATTGTGGAAGCTGACGATACGCAATCTACAGCTGAATTAGCAGCAGCTTTCGACGTTAACTTAAAAACAATATTGGTCTGTTTGCGTCAAATTGACGAGGTTAAAAAACCTTGACAAATGAGTGCCCTACGAACTCAATAACCAATTAATGAGACGCGCCTTGCACTGCTCAACAGGCACGAAAACGAAGGAATGTTGAACGGCATTGTTACCTGCGACGAAAAATGAATTCTGTTTGACAATCGCAAACACTCAGCAAGTCGTTGGATACTGGTTCAGCGTCTAAACATTGCCCTTAACAAAACTTACCCCTAGAAAAGTGATGGTCACTGTTCTAGGGTACCGAGAGGCAGTACAAAACGCCGTCAAGGAATTTGTCGCCTCCCGTCCAGCTGATTTCTTCAAGAAGGGCATCCATAAATTGCCACTGCGTTGGCAAAGATGCATCGATAGCATGAGTGATTACTTTGATTAATAGAAATAAAAAATACGTTACCTTATTTCATTAAAGACAGTAATTTCATATGTATAGACCTAATATATAGATCTTTATTATATATATATATATAATAATATTGTGTGTGTGTGTGTGTGTGTGTGTGTGTGTGTGTGTGTGTGTGTGTGTGTGTGTGTGTGTGTGTGTGTGTGTGTGACGTGCGTGTGTGTGTGTGTGTGTGTGTGTGAAACGTGCGTGCGTGTGTGTATAGTACTGTAATCCGATACTGGCTGAGGCAACAAGGGGAATGCCTTGAAAATGAGTGGATACGACAAATGGGTTCTTTTTAGCGATAAACACGAAAACTTGTGTCTTCTGGGGATTGAACTGGACTAGATTTAGTCGATTTCGCTTACGACCATCGTATGGCTTTGCTATTAATCGTGTTAGTTCAACGTGTTTTAGACAGAACCCACAAGACAAATTGTTCGGAAGTCAAGTTAAAAAAATAAATCTGTAATAATATTTTTTATACCATGTAGTGGCGGTGTAATCTACTACTCCATATCATCCCGTGGATGTTGTAACAAGCGAAAGAGGGAAATAAATCAGGAGATGGGCAGCTTTTTTTTTTTCCTTTTGGGGTTTTTTTTTGGGAAAGTGTTCCTAATAACGATTAAATAAAAATAAAACTGCAATTGCCAACCCGCTTGCCAAGCGTGGCAACTATGGCAAATATCCCCTATGAAGAAATCTATGGGGGAGGCCTATGTTCAGCAGTGGACTTTAATAGGCTGTAACGGTAACGGTTCAACAATTTTGATTGCACGAGTCTCGCTTGTTGTATAATTAGTTATATTCAGCAGATCGTTTTGTACAATGTTTACTCATAGAAAATTCGCAAGCCGCGACCAATGGTCTGTTTCAGGTTTACGACTTCGCATTCACAATTCACAGGCGCACTGCCTCGGCACCGGCAATGCATACTTTATTCATTGCTACATTTTTGTTCCTTTCTTATATTCCTTAGATAAACAAAAAAGATCATATTGTAAAATTTAAGTATATACGCCATAATTACATTAAATTAATAAAAATAACTTCCATCTAACAGCTTCAGCTTCACTGGATTGGATTAACCATGTCAGGGCCCTTAAGAAATGCAATTCTTAGGTCCTCTTTGCAGCCACCATGAAAGGATGTGAGTAATATCAGCAGCATCACTGGACTGATGATTAACTCGTCAGGAACTTATAGTAAAAGATGTTTTTTTTAATAAGAGAGGAGGCAAAGGAACGTAAGGCACACCTGATAAGTGTTTACCACCGTCCATGAACAACTGCAACACCAGGGGAATTTCAGATGCGTTTAAAAGGCCGGCACTTTTAAAATAGAGTAGGCTCTTTTCTTAAAGGTCCCTAAGTAGTATCGGTCCGGAAAAATTTCTGGTGGTAGTCGATTCCACAAGGAAATTGTGCGAGGAAAAAACAAATTGTGGGAAGAGTATTCCATGCGCGGCCGAACCTGCGCCTTGTAAAGTTGCAGGCGGTGTGCCGGCATGAACTGTCCCGCTGTCTGCTGAGCACGCAAAGCTTTTTAGAGGCCAATTTGGCATAAAAAATAAGAATATAAATTTCTTTGCAACCTTCCGCTAAATAAATACAATGATGTGTCTTACCTGGATTGAAGAGCACCCCTCGCGCTCCCTCAATTGCATGCACTAACTCCGTCACCACTATATTCCAGGTAAGACACACCACCGACGATAATACGACACGTGTTTCTCCTCTAAACGAGACATCTTCAGGTAATGTAGACTCTACGGCGGCTAACCGCTAAGTGAGCGGAGAGACGATACAGCTGCTATTTATACACGCCGACACAATCGCTCCCCACCAAACTAGCGAGTGACCGCGCCGTGCGATAACAAACCTATACTACTAATTATCATTATAGTTATGATTAATATTTTTAAATACTATTATTATTATTGTTTTATTGATATTATTATAGTTATTTATTATTATTAATCTTAAAATTGTATTATTAAAAATTAGCCTTAAAGATGTTTAACAAAGGTGAATTAGAAACATTTGTTTGTTCATTCAGCAGTGCATAATTACCATTATTACTTTTTAAAATCTCCAACTGCTCCAGCACACACACTGCCAATTTGGCATTCTCTTCCAAGTGACCATGAAACTGCACGTCGCTGGATATGTCGACGCCGAGGATTCCGATACTAGCTGAGGCAACACGAGGAGTGCCTTGAAACTGATGAGATAAGACAAAGGGATTATTTTTAGCGGTTAACGCGTAAACTTGTGTCTTCTGGGGATTAAACTGGACCAGATTTATTCGCCCCCAATCCGAGATTTTGTTCAGCAAAGTCTCGACTTCAGACACAAGTATGTTCCGGTACTCGTCGACGTTTTCCCGAGAAATATTGGCACGGCCGGTGTATAAAGCATCACCAGTGCTGTCGTCTACATAGCAATGAATGCTACCGATTTGCAACATGTCATTGATATGAAACAGCGTTGGTGATAGCACGCAGCCTTGTGGAACATCAGCGTTAATGGGCTTGTAATCGGAGCATGCACCGTCTACTAGGACCTTGATGCTCCGATCAGCAGAAAACTGGTGATCCAATTGCACAATTTCCCGGGAAGCTCATAGGAAGGAAGCTTCGTAAGAAGCGCTTTGTGCCAAATCCGATCGAAGGCCATCGCTATGTCCAAACTAACGACCAACGCCTCCCCCTCGGACTCTACTGCCTTCGCCCATTTATGAGTTAGGTAACCTAGAAGATCACCAGCCGAGCGACCGCGACGGAAACCGTACTGGCGGTCACTAATCAGCTGGTGATCCTCAAGGTACCGCATGACCTGGCTGTTAATAAGTGATGACGATAGGCCAATAGTTGGACGAATCAGAGCGGCTACCTTATTTAGGGATCGAGTGCACGAAGGCTGTCTTCCATGATTTCGGGACTACGCCTAGGGAGTAGGAGTACCGGAAAAGACGCGTTAAAACCGGTGCAAACTCCGAAGCACAGGTCTTCAGCACAATAGCAAGGACACCATCAGGCCCACTCGACTTGTTGATGTCCAGGGAGAGGAGTGCTCTGCGCACCGAGCGTTGGGTAAACAGTACATCCTGCATGGAGCACTCACACTGCGGGATAATCGGCGGTGTGTTCCCCCCGTCATCAAGAGTCGAGTTTGACGCAAAAAAAGAGCCCAGTAGATCGGATTTGTCCTCTGCGGCATGGGCTAGTGAGTCATCCTCCCTGTGCAAAGATGGAAGAGATGGCTGGCAGAAGTTCCCTTGGACAGCCTCGGCGAGAGACCGGAATGTACGTGTTACTGAAGGAAGACGAACAAGTTTCTAATTAGAATTATACTTCTTTTTAAGAACGCTGGTATTTACGACCTGAGAAGTCGATGCACGAGGCCAGGTCTGGTAACACTGCTGCTTATGATGTAATGCAATTTTGCAGGAGCGACCAAACTAAGGCTTGGTTCTGCCTCCGATAGGTACCACAGATTGGAATAAATAGTTCCATTCCCTGTAGCACCACATCAGCGACAGAATCAGCAACAACGCTGCTACGGCGAGAATCAAATCCGCCTCCAAGAATTGGATGCAAAAAAAGATCGCATCCCGTCTCAATCGGCTGACCTATATGACCATATGCCAAAGCAAAGTCATAAACAGATCTGCCCGCATGATCGGTTAAACGAGAACCAAGCCATTCAGCTTGGTGGGCGTTAAAATCATCAAGTATCACGATCTCTGCGGATGAGACCTGTTGTAGCACGAAGTCTGCAGCCATCTGGACGTGGTCGATCAGTCGTTCTGTGTCGACATTACCGCTATGGGACCTATATGGGCACCCGTAGACGCGAGGATGGTCGTCGCTGTCTACGTGTAGCCATAAAATGGACGGGTCTGTACCTTCAAGCCTGCCGAGGCGTCGAAAACAGATGTCCTCTACAGTGTTCTAATCTGTACCCTGGGTAGGAGAGATATGAAGTGCAACGCAAAGTTTTAAGAGCCTCCTTATTTGGGATACGAGCCTCTGACATCAAGGTCCCACAGTGAGGTCATTCAGGTGGAACATTGTCTCTTTGCCTGCAATCCAGACGTGGATTGCAGGCAAAGAGACGCAAACAAGTTCGCTTTCTCTTTAAATTTATACCATGCAGGAAAAACTCCGAGCATAACCACATAAATAAACTTAAGTAAAATATGCTAAAATAAATGTCTATATGTTCCAATAAAGAAGTATCGTGGTAAATATACGAATTAAAAGTAAAATATGGAGTATGACAGAGCAAAGGTAAAATTTCGGGAGGACTATGACGCCGCTTCTAAGGCACATCTTTTGTGTGAAATTCTCTTCTTACATCATAGTTTGAGTCAGAGACTATCGATGAACCATGTTTTGTAATAAACCACGAAATAAACAATTAAAATTGAAGATGTCACTCACTCTTGTATTGTTCCTTTCGGCTTTGAGTTCGGATATCTCCTCTTCTCTCTCCAAGAGTTGCTCTCGCGCCTGGTTTAACTCTTTCGTCAAAGTAGCGAACTCCTGTTGAAAAAACAAAATCAATTAATAATAAGAAAAACTTACTTGGGGAAAATAGTACACGTTTTTATAACATCCAAAACACAAAGGACAAAGTGTTTCTAGAGCCTGATGAGTAATACGGAACTCAAAAGCCCATGGACACTTGCATGCTCTTCTAAATAAAGGTATGTCGTTGTGAAATAAAACCTAATACTAAATCTGAAATGCATTTATAAAGTTACGTTATAAGTAGTTCTGAGGTTCCAAGTAGTTATCCAACGTGACAAAGTCACCATGACTTTTCACTGTGACTTTAACCAGAACGACGGTCACGTTTATTTAAAAATAATACTTCTCTCCAAGTATAGTCGCCTATTACGACACCAACGGGATGATATAGATATTCATACACCACCACTATACGGTAATTGATAGTTTCTGAAAACATTTTATTTATCGATAAAGTCTTGCAATCGTCGTTTCTGTAGCGCTCACTTGACCTTCATACAAATAGTTCGATACTTTAATTGTCGATATTTTTTTATTTTATAAAAGACAATAGTAAAAATAATAAGCAGCAATAATTTAAGTTATATTAAGGTAAATATAATAAAAGTTATATTTAATTTTTATAAGAATATTGTCATTGGCCTGACCTAACTATATTCTTTGGCTTGACCATAGGTTTGGAGTAACTTGGTCTAATAATATCTCGCCGCCTGAGTAGTTAAATTTCTTCCACAACAAAGACCAATGTAACAACATATGTTAATATCCATCATCAAGCAATTTAGACAACAGAGCGTGCTAAAGATATAGATATACAAACATACAAATACATATACTCGAAACATATTACCCTATTGGGGCATTCGGGTAAAAACAAAGAGGTCTTCACACGACGTAAATTTTTAGGCGACTTAAAAAAAGGAGCAGGTTCCAATTTCAACCAAGTCTTTTGTACGTGTGTTATTTTTAAAAGGTGGGGGGGGGGGGGGGATTTTTTTTTTTTTTTTTTTTTTCGAAGGCAAGCTGTTTTCGTTAAATTGTCGTAAACTTCGTAAAACAATTTGAAGTCTTTTTCCCCAAAGTAAAAACAACTAAAGAACAAAGTGGTCTCACAGTACAGTATCTAATACTATAAGCATTGAAATTGTGGGACTAGGCGATGTCTCCGCGTCAACAGTATCGACTCTTCACATGCAAGTGTTCAGTTTCATGGTTTCCAACCATTCTTATATAATTTAAAAAATACTGATATTAAAGTAAAATGGAAGCATGTATTTATAGCATGCTATACTGTTATTATAACTCCCGGTAATTTATAGTTTATATTTTGCAAAGGACTTTTATTTTACACACGAATCTTCCTATCATCATTCATATTACACATCATCAACATCATCATCAGCTCTCTCAACCAAAGGCCTGCGTCAAATACACGCCCTGGCACGGTCCTGAGCCACCTGCATCCATCGACTTTCTGCATATCTTACCAGGTTGTCACTCCATATAATAAGGGTCGCATTGCTTACCAGTACGGGATTACCACTCGAATTTTCATATGATTAGTATTAATATGAAAAGTCGAAACCAAAGTAAATTATCTCCAGCGCGTGAGTAAGGTAAACCTTTAAAGTTTCTTTCATGCTAGTAGACGCACTGGGTAAGCAGTAGGTACCTAGAAGCCGGTTTGAGTAGATACCATTCTCTTACAATTTTGCTGTGGCCATGCAGGAGTTCCGGTCTGAAGAGAGAGAGAGAGAGAGCCAGTATAATTACTTTCTGACTTAAAGTTGCTTTCATGTGTTTATAGGAAGCAATAGCCACTTACCATCAATTGGGTTGTAAGCTCGTATGTCAACTTCAAGTTTATAAAGCCATTGGGTTCTTGAAGACATAAAAAATCGGGATGTGGCCTTGTCGTGAACACAGCCGTATGTTTTACGCGTGAATTTGTGTACATAACGAAATGATCTGAAAATGAAGGCTCCCCCCCCCCGTCCCGTCGCCGCATACATGATCAAAGGATAAATATAATATAAATAGGAGTGGTGTAATGCTGCGCCCTCCTTTCTGCCAAGGAGGGTCGCGTTCGTATATGACTTAGAGATCTCTAGTTAGACCATTAAGCCAATCCCTAAAAGGCGGTGTTTAGTGGGTAAAAGTCTCCACATAACCACGCAGCCGGCTGCGTGGTATGCTATGAGCATTCACCGCCTCCCTCTCCCGCTTTCCGGAGGGTTGCCCATATTTGCTTCGGGCGCAAAAAAAGTGGTGTAATTAAATTTTGGATGTACATGGTTGTATATGTGGAACAACAAACTGTATCCCTTCGATTATGTTATCATCGGTTTTCTGAATTGCCTTCCACTATCGAGGCAAATTTAAACATCAAAAAGATAAAAGGAGCTTATAAAGTTGATGAGCTCATTTGATAAGAAAAAAAAATTGAAACCCTGTCCGATTTTCCTCAAAGTTATCGGATATCTCCAAGTATGAAAGGGACGTGCTGACAGAATAACATCGTGAGCCGCTTTTGTCATCGATTCTTAGAGCTGCGATACTCTTATGAGAAAAGGTCGTTAGTAGTTAAAGTTGCTATATTCAACTCCTCACTTCTTAGTGATTTGTAACGCATGAAGAGCTAACACATGCTTAAAATGATACGATAAAAATTCGTAATGGCTTTGAATGTTTGTGTACAATTTGTTTTATAAACATTTGCACTTTTTCGTAACAAAATATTATTATTTCAAATCATATCGCACCTCCAAATTAGTGTTCTCTGCTTACTTATTGGTTAACAGGTAGGGGACACCAAGGCGTTAAATCCGCCTTTGTACATTTTATGTAAACGATGTTTAAATATACAAATAAATATTTTTTTATGTATTGAGTATATATTATGTAACATACTTAACACATACTGATAGTGAAATTCGACCGTCATTCATGAATTGATATTATAATAATATATCAATTCATGAATATTAATAATATTCACGAATTGATGTGTTATTATTATTCATGAATAGAATCCTATATATAAATTCATAAATGAATTTTTAGATTTGTAATTTGTATATTAATCCATCTGTATTTCACTTTCAACTGGAGGTAAATTATTATAGAAAACGTAGTGATTATATATTCTTTGGTACATACTCTGAGGCATTAGTAGTGTGAAGGTCAACAAATGACATAATTGTCCATGTGCGATATCTATGTGTTTGAAATTGACAAAAAGGAGTATAAAAAGAGATCCATGGCTACCTATATCTAAACGAAAAGCATTCAAGGACTCTCCTACGCAAATAGGTGTTAAAGGCAATTAAGAGAAATATAAAAGAACCGTTTGCAATAGAACTAAATTTACAGAAAGATCCAGTTAGTACGAGAACTTTGGGAAGGTTTGATAATTTTAATGAGTGGTTTATTCGGGTCAATAATAGTCCAAACATTAATACTTATTTCAATAATAACGGTACCCTGTGAGACTAATAAAGGACAGCAATTTATTGTCATATATAGAGATTTTATATAAGTAGCTTAAATAATGCTATCTACGTATAATACTCGTGCAGGCCCGGCGGTGAAACGTTACAAGAAGACGTAACGATTTTCATTTTTTGATACCGCACTAAATTACTCCATTTCGTCGATAAAGAAGTTTCACTTCAAATTCGAATATGGAGCTAATCCACATATAAAAGAGAAGATTACACCACATTTCATATTGTATAACAAAGTAGTCACAACAACCAAGATCATATGAAATGAAAAGAAATATTTAAATTTCTTTGCAATGAAGCATAGGAGAATGTATAATGATATTTTTTTTTTTAATGGATTCGAAAGTAACTGTTTATGAAAGCAAATAATTTACAAGACAGCTTGACGAAGATTCTTATAAAAGTCTGGCTACCGTCGCGTCGGAACTTTTCAGAAATACTATAAGATAATTAGAAACTAAGAATTTTGCGGCTCTCAGGTCGAAACGTGACTACCTTGCTAATTATACCCGTGTTAATTTGAGTGAAAATACTGTAAGTTATGACAAAATAACTAAAGTTAGAAATTTTAAGAAATAAGTTAAAAAAAAAGATAAATGTACTCGTAATAGTAAATGATAGTAAGTAATTATGAAATTAGTGAAATATTATATACTAACAAAATTTACTTAAAATACATCCGTCCGTGGAGTCCACGTGTAGTCGCGACTTGGCATAACCGCTGGTGATAAGAGGGCTGGTACTTTTCTTGCTCAAATGCTAAGTATAGCCACTTGCAGCCAGCGCTCTTGGCACTATACCGCGGGGATTTGGACTGTATGATAATTTTAGATTTTTGTTTTAATTTTTATAGGGCATGGTAATTTAATAGTGTAATACTTCAACGTTATGGTTTTATTTTATAGAAGAGAAGGGCAAACGAACATGCAGCTTATCAAAGAGATGTCACTTTCATCGCACGCCAGTGAATCCAGCCGAACAGAGAGAACTCGGTTGTCGACTCTGCGCTGGATGCGGTCAAGTGGAGCTGGCACTGAGGAGCCCTGGCCCAGAGACGAGAACAGTTTTCATATGCGGCCGAACTTGTTCTTGCGCTTTGTAAAGTTACGAGCAATGTGATGACATAAAATATTGTCCCGTTGCGAGCACGTCAAGCTTTTTAGAGGCTGATTTAGCTGTCACTCCAAGCAACAACGTAGGGATATATAAATGTTCTATCAATACGAATTAAAATTAAATTGACGTTATTTCAAAACGATGGATACTTTTATATATACTTACATATATTTTTAAATATATACGTATAATAGCTCTTTTAATTAAAAAAAAAAACAACTAAATTAAAATAAACTCGTATATGTACCTTAATGGTAAAGACGATTTAGAATATTTGCAAAGCGTAAAGGCATTTTAGCTAGAAGCTCGAAATATGCTAGCCATTTTTCAACATTACTATATATGCAAAAACTCCATTCGTGTTACAATGTTTGGTTTTTTAAAGTTGTTTTTTTCTAGGTTTTTTTATTTTTTATTATTATTTTTATATAATATAATACAAAAAAACAAAAAAAACCCTCTTCAAAACAAACAAATTAAATAAGCAAAATGGCGTTGTGGGGGTTGGGTGGATTGTTGGGAGTTTTGGGTTTGGGTTTTTTTTGAAACGCACTCATATTTCATAGATGGTTTCAAATCTAAAATTGTTATTATTGATTTTTTGAATGTAAACGTATAAACGCATTTTATTCCTTAAATATTCCAAACTTAAGCTTATACCCACTCATATATTGACGAGAAAGTTGAGAATATATTGCAGTACGCACTAGAACTTAGAATCTATCACGTTAGTCGAGACAAAGCGTGACGCGATGGAATGTTAGGTACATAAAACGTTAATAGCGCATGACTTTGCCAACATTGGAAATTTCAATGGCTTTCTGGTAAAGGAGGAATTCAAACTAAAGCTCTTGAACTGTTTAGAATATGAAGTCACGTGTTAAACTATAAAGATTTGTTAGATTATTTTATAAGAATGAAGAATACAAATAATTCACAAGATTTTTGTTAATTTATCACAAGTAGCAAATATAGAGAGCAATCCTACTTCGAGCATGTTTTCAACCTACTAAAGACTAAGAATTTAATAGATCGAACTTCATACAACGATTCACAAAATGTGGCTGAATATTTGATACATAAATTAAGATACTGCTTAGATGAAAGTACCATAATAACCTTAATTCCGCGAAAAAATCGTACCTTAAACCCCTGGATAACATTAGGTGTATTGCGATGCATAAGAAATAGAAACAATATGCAAAAAAAAACCAGACCCTGATAACGAAGTACTAAAAATAACGTAACTATTGTCAATCTTATTAAAAAACTAAAACGAAAAAAATTTATGGAAAACAATTAATACAGTATCATATATAAAGCAAAACACATAAAAATTCTTCTATTGGACAAACATTAGCTGAAAGAATTCCTTTGGATAGCAACATTTCAAACAATATAGGGGATACCTACAACACAAGCTCACAAAGTATCCTCTTTTGTGCTTTAAGAAACTGACCATGGTGAGGCAGATTCTAATTTAATGGATTTAAAATCTGACAGTGCTCCCGGATGGGATGATATACCAACTAAATTTACAAAGCGAGCGAGTTCCATCATGGTTCCAATTATTTCTGTTTCAAGCAGGGTGTTATTAAGGCATCACATATCCAAGCAACAGTAACGCCTGTTTTTGAAACTGATGGAAGATAAAATACATGTAACTATAGGCCAATTTCGGTTCTGTTATTTCTAAAATAATAAATAGCCAATAGAAAAATAATAAATAAACGTTTGAACAGTTAATCACAGTTTGGTTTTAGACGGGGACTATCTACCGAAGATGCTGTTTCTGCCTTAACTATTCGCATTATTATAATGCAGATTAAGGTAAAAAGTGCGTGGCGGTCTTTCTAGACTTAAAAGAGTGAGTATATATATTTTTTTTTTTATTTTTATATATATATATATATATATATATATATATATATATATATATATATAACAATCCATACATACATACGTACATAACAATCTATACTATTAACAATTTTTGTAAAATGAAAGTTGATCATGGATGCATATTTTCTTGACACTGCAGTCGTTTTTTACTGGTGAAACATGGGATATTGTATGCAGTACTACAGAACCAGAACAAGGTCTTGCTAAAATTGCTAGATGGATGAACCTACATCTTTACTACATATGTTTTTATTTATTTATAATAATTTTTAATCCGATATAAACTTTCAAATAAAAAATACAAACATAGTAATGCTAATACCTACTTATGTAGACCAATCACAAAAATCAAATGCCTAGGCGTAATGGTAGATCAACGGCTTCCATGGCATGGACACTTAGAATTAGTTATGAAGAAGAAGTTATAAAGAATGATAATTGACTCGGTGGTACTACTAACTTATCTCTGTTCCTAGTATTTACAGAATAAAAAACTACTTTTATTTTTGTGTACATACAACATTACTTTTTCATAAATGAATTAAGAGGCCAAAGTTAATATATTAATTTCCATAAACTTTTTGGTGACATTATCTGGCGTAAATCTCTACTCTATGCGACTGTTTGACCAGACTATTACATGTTTTGCAATTGACATGGGAGTATATACGTAAACAACGAATGTTTTATTTTATTTAATATGTTTTTAAAATATATTTTATACAAAATCTTTAGCTTTCTGTACTCCTTCTCAACATCAAATTTAACTGTGTCAAATATCACACTCTTCATACGCGCAATATATTTTAAAAGAACCTATATACCAATAGATAACATACAGTCGAATTGAGAGCCTTATCCTTTTTTTAAGTCGATTAATAAGTACCACATGCTACTTCTCTCAATTACCTCTACCTACCTATCCATTACGAGAACAGATGTGCCCCCTGTTGGCGTGCGCTCAGATAAAGGTGTGTCATCAGACGCCGCCCCGGGGGGCATTCTAACGCGGTATTGACATTATTACTCGTACGATCGTATAGTTCACGGATATTTTGATATAAGCTAGTGATCTGCCCCGGCTACGCACAGGGTATTTCTGTATCTCGATATCAGCGCCAACTTGCGGATCTAAATATGAATCTAAACCAACCAAAGACTCACTCAAACACATAAAAATTTCATCAAATTCGGCCCAGCCGTTTAGGAGTTGTTTAGTGACAAACACACGTACGTACAGAAGAATTATAAATATAAAGATCTATACCGAAAAACTGTCTAGACTCTAGAGTATTATATAATAAGAAATTCTAAGGGTGTGGTTTATTGACCGTGTATAATTCACTACTCCATATTATCCCGAGGGTGTCGTAAGAGACAACGGAGGGAAACTGAAACAGGTGATGGACAGCAGGGTCAATCCGATAACATACATAAACACTCACGCCTGTCACCCAGAGGGGTAGGCAGAGACTACAGACTTCCATTTGGCACGATCTTGACACACCTCTTTCGCCTCCTCCACATCCATATACCTACGCATACATGCTCGTCGGTTAAGGGTACTCCTAATTTGGCCCGTTTCAATATATCGTCAATTTGGTCGATAAATTTTCGCCTGGGTTTCGTACCTTTCCGACTCTGCCATTCACTTCTACAACATAAATTTTCTTTGTCACTCTTTCCTCATTCTTTCTTTCCACATGACCATGGTCACGTGGTAATACGATAACAACTAAAAATAAAAATAAACTGCGCTTGCCAATCCCTATGATAACCGTGGCAACTAAAGCAATCTGGAGGCCTTTGTTCAGTAGTGGAGTTTGCATAGGCTGTGACGGTAACGGTAAACTCAGCATACAGTTAAGTACCCGACCTTTTTGTATTATTCCAAACATGATATTTACGAGGTTGACACTGAAAGATCTTAGTAGGTAAATCAAAAACTGAACAAGCTAGCAAGTTATTAGTTTTATTATATTTTTTCAAAATAGTGTCCATTTACATCAATACATCGCTCCATCCGACGAAACCACTGAGAAAGGCACTTTGCCTACTCGTCCTTAGGGCTCTTCGACGGCGTTTTGAAACGCAGCCGCTGCATCCTCGACATCCATAAAACGTTTTCCTCGAAGTTTTTCTTTTATTTTCGGAAATAGATAAAAATCGCAAGGTGCGAGGTCGGATCGAGGACGGGTGACCCAGTGACTCCACGTTACGTCGCGAAGTAGTCGATAGTTTGCTTGGCGGTGTGCGACAAAGCGTTGTCGTGGTGAAGGAGGATCCTACTGCTAGGTCGTTTCTCCCGAACTTTTTCCAAGACAAGAAGCAAACAATTGTTAGTGTAACACTCTGCAGTAACTGCTTTTCGATCCTCTAAATCTAAAACGATTGTGACGTAATGACCTGTCCTTCCGAAGAACGAGGCCACCATCTTTTTTCCCACGCTTCGATTTCTCTTCACTTTAGTTGGCAACTCCTCGGAAAGAAATACACAGAAAGCAAACTGTCTCTTAGTTTCAGTATCATAACAATAAACGCAGCTTTCGTCACCCGTAAATATGTCGACATTTGAATACCTCCTTTAAATCTTGAACATCACGACACCACTCAAAACGATGGAGTTTTTGGGTCTCTGTCAAATTATGAGGTATCCTCTGGGTATCACACACACAAAACTTCTTGACCGCTAAATGTTCATGGAGGATTTTGTGCACTTGATTCATACCGATGCCTAAGCTTATCCGAATCTGCTGATAAGTCACTCATTTGTCAGTCTCAGTCGTCGCCGTAGAAGGCCGTCCCTCACGCAGTTCATCGGTGAGATTAGAGCGATCCCACGTTTAAACTCATTAAACCAGTTGTAAATAGTGGCACGAGATGGGGTTTCATCGTGAAAGGCAAATCGAAATCTATCCATAAATTTCTTGTTGGCTTAAATGACATCGAAAGTCATAAAAAATCATTTTACGAAAGTATCTCGCTTTAAATTCATGCCGACGTTACACAGACAATTTTCAATTTGCCGCCAAATTGTAAACAAATGACAAATCAATAATACACACACAATAATATTAGCAAAGAGTTCCATTTTCAAAATTTGAACCTATTTTTTTATCATACTATCGTTTACAAGTTCCAGTTCTAAAAACTTTCATTGTCGCCCCTTGTATTGCTAACTATTACTTGACGCTGTAAGGCTGCTGCCCATGACAATCTATCCATCCAAAAGGATGTATGTATCTCAAGAGAAAAGTTATTATTAACTATGGTATTTCTCTATCCAAGGTAGAATCTGAATTTACCGTCAGGTTATAAACAAACCAATCTCAAGCAAAGAGGGCGATGCATGCCCCGAGGACCAAAGTGAAAAAACCAACAGTCAGCAACATTGAGCTATTATGTACTACGTACTAGAGGCGACAAAGCATTCAGCTACTATGTTCCACTCAACTGCAGTGCATACACCGCACTTTAATCAGTCACTCGCTAGGCGCTTGTAGAGTTGACACGTGTTGTGTTGATTTAAAAAAAAATCTCGTGATAAAAATATGTCGTCGTGCGTACTTAGATATTGCACAAATAATTCAAGAAATGTCAGTAAAAACCAAGAAATTACTTTTCATTGGTTAATAAGATACTTAATCAATAAAAAAGTATTATAAATTAGTAATAAAACAAATTATTCCTAAGACGCCATCTCGTGTCACGTAATATAGATTATGAAATTAATTAGTTCAGATGCGACATTTCTGTGGGTACTTAAGTATAGGACGAATATATTATTATACACATTTTTTTGTAGAAACGTATGAGTTATCATAATTAGGCCAAATTTTTTATATTTAAATCTGCTAATTATTCTTATATTTTATTTTTAGGTTTCCACATCAGTCAAAGTGGAATAAATTCCTCAATTATTAACTCTCGTGTGCCCAGTATTTATAAACGACTCTTATTCTAATTTAAATAAATATATTTGTAATTTAAATGTTATATTAACAAGTTTTGTTGAACATACATTTAGTATGCTTTTTTGATATTTGAGATAGATAACTTTTAAAATATTGAGATTAAAATATCATTAAAATGTGTTTGTGATATAATATATGTAGTTGTGATATAATATTATGTAATATTATATTAAATAAGCAAATGTAATATACAAAATAAATGACAAAATTAAAAAAAAAATCTCGATATAATTTACCTATTTAACAATACAATCTATGTATTATTACCTACTGATCATTCTATCCATGTTTATTCTACGATAAAAAAACCAACCGCGGGAACACAGAGTAGCGCACATTTTTTGTTTGAAATAGCTCTTCTAGTACGTAAGTACATATTACTTCAATGGTCAGCAATCATACTTTCTTCTAAACGTCTTTCACATATTATTACTTCTCTAAGAACGGCTTGTCTTTTACATATTATTGCTTCTTTAAGAAAAACTGGTCTTTTTTAACCGACTTCAAAAATA